TAGTTGTAAACAGCATGATAATATATTAAGTAATCCAAAGTATTCAGAATACGTTACTCTCATTGAGTAACGTAACAGAATACGTTACAGAATACATTTTGGGGCATGTAATCTGTAATCTGTAATGGAATACATTTTAAAAGTAACCTTCCCAACACTGGCTTTTATTGAATCTCTTCTGTGTGACTTTGAATTGAATGAAAACATGTAGGGAAACTTGAGGGTGTTATTGAGAAGTTATCTTGGATTGCTGATCACAGAAACCATCCAAACCTCTGTGGAGAACAGCCACAATGTAAAATGTTATGTGCTGACAGGCACCAAGGAAATTATACTAATGTTAAATTAGATGTTAAATGTGTGCAGTGGTTTTTATTTGCGAACTAACTGAGGCAATCTAAATGACAAAGAAAAGATTTAAGTTTAGTCTTAAGTGGCTGACAAATCGTAACGACCCTTCAGGCCTCGTATGTAGTGCCGCCTCTCACACTAGCTGCTTCATGCTGAACTGTTGAAGAATGATGAAAAGAGCTGTACCAGAGTCGCTGCTGTTAACCTGCTGTGTTGAAATGATTCCAGCTTTTTGCAGTTTCTATCAGCTCGCTGATGTAATTATCAGCTAAAGAAACTTCTTTTAGCTGCAGGTAATGTCTGTTTTTGTTTCATATCAATGTATATCAAAACTTGTTTATGCTGTTTGCATATTTTTGTTATAACAAGAAGGTAATTGAAGTAATGGTTGTGTATGTACACTGCTCTTGCTATATGGAAGGATGGAGTATACATTGCTTGTTACTTGCACTCAGTAACAGCAGCTTCTATCAGCATGCCCTGCACTCGTGTGGGGTGAAAGATGTGCAACGCCTGATACTGAGAACAGAAAATCCTTCAGGGTTTGATAGTTTTGTAGCTGAAGGTTCAAGCAAACTTCCAGAACCTTCTTTTCTGTTATTTACCCATGAAATAGTTTTTATGTTGAAACATCTCTGCGATGCTGTTTTTAAGAAAAGATTACAGGTTAGAAATCTAAATAATTTTGGTTTATTGTATGAGAAGAGCTCGAGTATGTAAAGCTGTCCTTCCTCGGAGGCACAGACAGAGGTGTGGAATGGGATTTTCAGCCTGTGATTTTATTACATTTGGTCTGTAATTTGGCAGGATTGTGATCTGACTGCATCGAGCGTGGCAGATTATTCGTGCTTGGTAGGAGCCTTTTTCCGTCACAATGCATTTTACCGGCAGTGAAATTGCATCGCCCTCGCTCTCGTTCACACAGATCCATGACGAGGAATTCTGTGGTAGGATTAGTCATGCAGTGGCCCCGCCATACTTACATTAGAGCTGGATTTCACTGTGTTTGAATTTCATGGGGGGAAACCTTACAAGCTGAAGGTTTGTGGAACGAGCAGAGAAAATCTGACAGAGCCAGGCTGAGACTCGTCTGTGTCCAGGAGTGCTGATGTGTGTTTGTCTGTCTTACAGAGGACCAGATACCACATGGCTTCCCCACCATAGACATGGGCCCCCAGCTGAAGGTTGTGGAAAGAACGCGCACGGCTACGATGCTGTGTGCAGCCAGCGGAAACCCCGATCCAGAGATCTACTGGTTCAAAGATTTCCTGCCTGTGGACATTAGTAGCAGCAATGGGCGCATTAAGCAGCTGCGATCAGGTAAAGCACTCATCTCAGTCGGTCCACACACAGATTTCTGTTAAGCAGTGAGATGCACAGATTCTTCAGGCGTTAATCGTTCATTTTTAATTAGTAGAAAACCTGTTGAAACGGTGCAATCGTGAGAGTTTGAGGAGAATCCACACATCATAATAACACTGCACTGTCTGTGCAATATAATATTTATATGTATTGACTGAGAGTCCATTTATGTTTTCACCAACAAGAGGGATGTACTAAG